CGCTCTAAAATCATATCCTTTTCCGTGTTCCTGTGATGTACTTTTTCTGAACTCAAAGTGAACAAACTCAGTGGAAAATCTATTTTGTGCGACAGAATAATGATAAACATTATAGGATTATAGTTTGGGATTCAAATGTACTATGATTTAGCCTAAAAAATAGTTTAAATCAACTTTTGAAATAACATAATAGCTAGGTACAGTTTGTCCGCATTAAACCATCTGACTCAAAGACTTCAACATTAATTATTGTCCCGCAGAAATTATGTTTACAATTGCACAAAGGATAATAATAACTGGCATAGGCAAATAGTCGCCATTGAACAGATCTGTTTCTTTTTTGTAGTAACTTCAATTAATATTGTAGTTGCTTTTGAAGAAGCCCAGACTTTTGGCGCCACTTCCTAATGTAAGGCACCTTATTAAAGATATAACTAATGGTTTCTTAATGGTTGATTATTCATTTAGTTATGCTTTATAGATAAACATTTAGGTTGCCAGGATGTTTAAAATCTCTTTTGTTGATATTTATCCTTACAATTTTATTTCCGTTTTCCTAAATTATTATATTTTGTTGTCAGTATTGTATTTTCATTCTGCTGGTCATGCAACAATATTTACAGCAAATTGTTTTAAGAGTATGGTGTAAAAGTGATGATTCACTGATTCATCTTCAACCACCTTGGACTAGCCATTAATACACCACCACCATGTGAAGCCAATCACAACTCAGCATGAACACTAAGACAGTATTAACCTACAAACCATCCACAGCAGTGTGGTTTGTCCTGAAGGGGAAGACTAAATATGAATCTGCTGTGAGCCAATCTGATTACTGTCATATTTCATTTTCAGACTACACAGAGAAATAATCCGCTGGCTGGTCAAATGAGCATAACAGAGCCGCAGACAGGCATCATGGGAAATACAGGGTCATGTACCGGATGTTGCCTCAACTGTCTAACCAATTTTGATTTGCATTTCTATTTATAAATGTGTTACTTTAACTGTTGTTCATACTGCTCTGTGGAACCATATCTAATGTTAGGGTTAGGATAATGGTTAGATCACAAGATGCAAGGAATATCTTGTCTAAAATAAACATTTGGAATCAACTGGTTTCTTAAATAGCAGCTAATATATAATAATAAGGCTTAAATCTGAGCTGATCATTCTTAGATGCAACACTGCAAAAGTGTACTTTGTAATATGTATCTCACAGACAACATGGTTCTTGTAGTACATACATTTAGAAGCCACAACAATTGACCGTATTTAGTTTGCAAAACATTTCACAGCTACACTTTTACAATAACATAACAACAAACTCTGAAGCAAACGATCATTACATGATTGTGAACGGTTGATTGCACTAATTTCATTATGGGAAACAGACTGGCATTACAGTACTCAACATACAGTATTTCATAGAAAACCATCACCATATACAGCACCTTTCCAAAACTAACATAATCGGTGAACATCACGAAATGACAAACTATATAAAAAAGAAGATTTGTGTTCCCTTACACAACACGCCCTGTAGATGTCTAAACACCCAGCAGCTAAAGAGTGCAGTACTAGCTTATCCCACAAGGAATAGCACCATCTGACAAAACTGAAGACCAATAAATATGGACACGAGTCAAATAAATTGCTAGCCTCATGCCAGAAAGGGTTTAAAAAGCTGAATCTTGCTAAAGCTGGTTATAATATATTTCTGAGAAAAAGTCATTTATGTCATTTATTGAAATATAACTAAAATTACCCTAAAAGGAAACGTGCAAAAATAATACATTAATTAAATCCAACATTATGAGAATTAATTGAAAAGATTGAAAGTTGATACAATTTGTGCATATAGTAAGATGGCAGGATGGCACGCAACATACACATTGTGTATTTGTGTAAACCTATTTTTGCCGAATACTCTTTATTGCTTTAAATTATGGCCAACTGAAAAATGCAAGTCAAATATTCATTGCTTTGTTTGATTACCATTAACATAATAAATAAATATTTGTGTCTTTAGCTGTTTAGATATTTGACATTTCTTGCCAGCTAGTCAGAAACACTCTGTCTGCCATTTGGTGCTGAGCAGGGTGGTACATTAGAACTTCTAACTGAAAACAAATGCCTGCTGCTGCTTAAAAGGAGGTTGATAAGTGCAGTGAGAGTGATACATACAGTGTAATTCCAGTCTGTAAAATCAAATCCATTAGCTACTGAAAAAGAAATGGAAAAGCACGAAGGAGCTGCAGAGTTGAATGATAATTCTCTCTCTTATGCAGCACACTGGCACCATGACCCACTTTTGACTCCTCAGACGTCAATTTTGGGGGTAGGCGCTGGATTTTCCAGACACAGAGTACCAGGAATGGATCACAGAAATGCAAACGCTGCTGCTGTTGACTGTCAGCTAAAGTCTGATGGCCCTCTGGGGTCTTAGGGTAAAAGCCATTAATACATTTTTGTTGGGTTTTAAAAATAAAAAAATGAATTCTCTTTTAAAGATTTAAATTGTTCATGAAAAGTTGGTCTGCTACAATGCTACATTTAGTAACATCATATCATTTTTGTTAAGTCTGGCTTGCTCACTAATATTCCATTTACACATTTCATTAAAACAATTAAAGAGCTGGCTTCTGTATTCCACCAAGTATCAATTTTCATTAATAGTAGGGTATTGAAATGTAAAAAAACATGTTTAACTTACTAGACTGGACATAAGTGGATATCCTCTGTTCTGATCATAAACAAAAGTTGTTGGGTTGTGTCGTTTTTATATAACCAAATGTATTTTAAATCAGGACCTACCATCTGTCATCCACTACATTACATTACATTGCATTTAGCTGACGCTTTTATCCAAAGCGACTTACAATAAGTACATTCGACCAGGAAGACACAACCTTGAAGAAAACAGAATCCAATAAGTACATCAGGTTTCATAGAGCCAAAACAAAGGAACTACCCACTCATGATATTGTACAAGCCATAATTAGCCTTGGGTGAGGGTTGGTATTGATGCATTTGATTTATTACATTAAAATAAAAAACTCTGACAGACAACATCAATAGATGATGGTTAGATTGATACTTCAATCTTATAGTATTTGATAAAGGACAATACATAATGCAGTTAACATTTGGGTTTATGATCGTAAAGAACGAGCACACTATTGATTATTTGCAAGTGGGGCAGAAATCTAAAATATTCAGGTCGAGAGGGCAAGGTGCCAGTGCTCCAATGTAAATTAGCAACTTAAAACGATTTAGCCAGGAGTCTGACAAAGTGACACGCAGCTGGACTCAAGCATCACTTTCCTGCTCGTTTCTGGATAATGTTTGTCTGCTTCTTAGTTCAACCAAAAATGTTCTCTAATCTAATCCATGTTACTGAAGTCAAAATCGCAATACAGTACATGAACAGAGCTCTCCTATTTCCGAAAAATAGTCTACATGTACATGTGCTTGATAGGTCACAATAAATAGTATGAAAGTTGAATATACTTTGAATAACCACAAGATTTATATTGTTTTGACCTCACAGAACAACTGGGATGTTCTATTTGACACCATTTGTGTTTATGGACATTGTCAATGAGCAACTCAAGTGTAATGAGTCTGGATTCCGGTAGTGACATATGGTTCAAAGTATCATAAAGCAGCAGACATCTGCTTGTTTTTGGATAATGTTTGACTGCCTCTAAGTCCAGAGAGGAAAATACTTCTAATCTATCTGCATGAGGTCAACATATCAACACCAGGTACGAACAGAGCTGTACTCATACGGGAAAAAGAGCAGGAAAGAGCAAATGTCTGTCATGTAACATCTTGACATGGATGCGATTATCCACTGATGGAAGATGAGCAGTTACATTATGTGAATATATTCATTTTCAGGAATAAAGAAATTCCTCGTCTGGCCCTGAGCATTATAGAGAACCACTTGAAGTTGAATGTCAAATTCCAAAATCTAAAGCAAGTGTGGGTACACATTTATAGGGCAAAGTTACTACGACAGCTCTGACCAAATGGCAGAGAGATCATCGCCACATATGAATCATACTTCCTGTCCGTAAGTTTAATTTTCGTACCAAACATTACGACCCTTTAATAAGAGATTCATCTAACTTTTTTCTGGTTATGTTTATTTTATCTTCTCGCTTTATTTTGCTCCATCAATGTGTACTATTGAACGACCCCTCTTTTGCAAGTCAATCTATAAACTATTAGCATGTGAGCAGTCACCAGCCTACATCTGTGCTGACCCAAAATAAATAGTGTGACAAATGCAAATTCCCAGCAGGGGTGATGTGTGTATTAAATCAGGCCAGTGTGACACCCTCAGGCAGTTGCAGGCTGCAGACCTGGTCCCTCAGTCTGGAGGCCCTGCCAGCCCACTGTGGACTAGCATCCTCTTACAAAATCACTGCAGCATCCTTTCAAATTATGGCCAGTAATGTGTGATGGCCTGTCAAGCAGAGAAATGCACATCATGCAAACCATAGGAGCCAATGCGCATCTGGCTTAACCTGAGGCAAAATCCCAATCAGCTGTGGGCTTTAGTGCACAACAAGTACGGCTATCAGAACGGCCGCGGAAATGGGCTACACGCACAAACAGAGATGAGGCATCCGTCGTGTGTATGCTAGATGGCCCTACATGGTGGTGAAAATCCCACACAAGCTCCATCCTCGTCATCTTCGAGGGTTTGCTTAGTGTAGGCCAAGCTATGCCACTTCCGACATGCAGGCTGAGCCGAAGCTACATGCACGAATAAGACATTTATATTTTTTACCCGATTCTGGTATTTATTGGTGCACTGTGGTCCATTTTTGGCTGCGTGAAATGAAAATAACGTATGCTATTTTACACCGCTGCTGAGATGATCAACCTGTCTCAATCCAACAGGCCTGCTAGTCCCAGTAACTCCCAGTTCCGACGGTTTTAAACCCAACAACGGCAGTATTTACAGACAGCTGTTCATACCTTACCTCGCAATCGATTCTCATCATGTGAGGAGTCTTAATCTGCGTGAAACCGTGTCCATGGCATTTTGTTTTTAGGGGGGGGGAATCGCTATCGAGTGCGCTAAGGTCTCAGCATCAGCAGCAGCCCCACAATGAAGCAGTGATGGCCGGTGGTGATGATGCTGGGAGCCCCGCCCTCCTCTCCATGCAGCCGCGATGAGCTCACTGGTTTCCAGCTCCGCCGGCTCCAGTGCCGCCGCACAGACCCACAAACACACCCTGTGGTGGAAGAAGTAGACTACTCAGACTTTATACTTGCGTAAAAGTATCATTGCAAGATTGGCATTTTACTTCCCACGCTACTTATTGTGCAGTAGCTAATTTCACTAATATACAGTATACATTACTGGATTATGACTATTGATGCATGAATGTTTTCATAACAGCAGGTGAATGTGGAGCTATTTTAATTACTTTGTATACTGCTGCTGAATATCTTAACCTATATTATGTCATAGTGTATTAGTTTATTCATAGTTTTTAATAGCTGATAATCTGAATCTTTAACATAGCCTAACTGAAGCAGTCAGACGAATGTGGAGAAGAAGTAGGCTATAAAGTATAGCATAAACTGGAAATACTCAAGTAAAGTGTCTCAAAACAATACAAATAATAATAATAGCATCAACAACAACAACAGAATAACAATAATAATAATCGAACATCGGTGACTTTACGGCCTATTTCTAACCCTGTTTTTTATGGCCCTTAAATATGAAACATTCTCCCCTTGGATCTAAGAACAGCAAACTATCTTGGAATTGCAAAACATGTTTTAATGTATTATGAACACACTATCTGTTTTATTTTAGTTTGTATTAATCTCATCTTGTTCTGTAAAAGGAGCGTATAAATGCTAATATAATAATACTTATACTGAATACTTTTAAACAGTCATTTGTCAATCAATCTTATGTTCAACTGATATTTTGTTATATTATTCTAACAATGCTCACCTTCGACTAATATATTTATACTGTGAAGTTTGAAGAAGGGCTTTGCTGAAGCAATATGCCTATTTGTTTCAGGTTGTTATTGGCATATCATTGACACTGAAACCGTAACTGTTCCTTTCTCATTGTCAATGTTTACATCTGCACAAAACACGAGGAGGGGAACCTTAAAATCTGCATTCATGTCGACGCTATAAGCTTTATGTTTTTTAAACCAATGACTGGTGATTTCTTCTATTGTTATTTAACTGTTTCTCAGAGGTATCTCTGTCGGTTTCTGCCTTTTCAATTTTCAACATTGACCCAGTGGGCAGTTTATTGTTTTCCATGTACAAAACATGAAATGTGTTTGCAAATCCATACAACATAATATCTGCAAAGAAGACGTTGTACAACCTGCATGTATGAAAGACAATTAAAAAATAAAGAGCAGTACTCTCAATTAGTCCAAGCCCTATCACAAAAAATGGTTTGATTGAATTGAAATGATCAGGTGTCCTTTGTTCAAAGACTTATTCTAAAAAATAAAATAAAACATTCAAATGTGCATCCACTGTCTCATTGAGTGAGAGATAGTGCCCCCTAATGTTCGATCACTGAATTGTTTTCTGGTTTATTTGTTGAGTTCTCTACACAAATAAGAAAGCCATTCATAAATACTAGTACATAAAACGTCTGAAGCAAATGTATATTATAGCTACATGCAGACTCAGGCTTCGTTATTCCTTCTCAGCCTTGAAGTGTGTTTTCTGCAAGGTTATTCTAATCACATTTGTTTTCAGTGTTATCTGACTTGAAGGTCAAAGTAAGGCAAAACACTGAATACGTTTAATCTTAAATTTTATTGCAAAACGCATAGTTTTGTAACATTGATGCTTTGCATTGAGTATGGGATGTGACCAATTTCGCTATCTCATCTACCTGTTGAAATTGACCGGAATGACTGCTTTCCCCGTCTCATTGTTTCACTGTGTTTCAATGTGTTTGAAACCTTGCAACCTTGCAACCCATAGCCCCACCTCCCAATATACATCTACGCATCTGCAGCATAAATAGTTTGAGTGACAGCCAACAGCACTCTCAGTAACTGGACAGATCATTCCACAACACATCGTCAACTTTACATGAGCATCACATCACTTCACGCAGTTCAGGCGGAAACACTTAGTGTCAGAGTTATTTGGCAAGAACGCCCAAACTCGCATGTGGGTTTAGGAGTTACTTACACTGCAGATGGGCTTTGAGAAACGTACGGTTAAGTGAGTTAAAGGACGAAAGATGGCCATGGACGGAAAAAATGGCATCCACACAGTGTTGGTGCCAAACGGACACCCACAGACGTCTAAAGATAATGAGGGACGGGGTAATTGGAGAAACAAATCCGAGTTTTTCCTGACTGTGATGGGTGCGATCATCGGCCCTGGCAATGTATGGAGGTTTCCCTACCTATGCTACAGAAACGGCGGAGGTGAGTTACTTTTCACACAGCTGTTGCTCTCAGTTTGCGAAAATGTAAATCTAGGAGGATTCTTTAAGTATTTTCTAATTGTATCTACCCATCGCTGCATAAAGAAGTAAAGGCAATTTTCTTTTTCGCAGGCGTGTTCTTCATCCCATACTTCTTGTTCATGTTTACATGCGGAATCCCGTTATTCTTCCTTGAGACTGCTTTAGGACAATACACTAGCCAGGGGAGTATAACGTGCTGGAGAAAGATTTGTCCGCTTTTCCAAGGTAATGTCTTAACATTTCTTATTTTCCGTAGAATTTCCTGTGCAAATGTGTTCGTGTTCGTCAAGTGACTCGTCATATTCTTCACCGGATATTTTGGATGTGAACAGTGCGCGTAATTACGCACAAAGTGTATCCTTTTGGCTATGTCACCGTGGGCCTATTTCATTTTTTTGGAGCAGATTCTTTGTCATTTATCTATGCATAATGATGATCTTATTATTGACTTTCTGCACAGGTCTCTCTGTACAGAACAGACAGTGTTGTTGAGTGCAACAAGATACTATTATCTGCTTGCCACACTCCCTCACTCACTCTTGTATTTGTCTCCTTCTTTTTTTCAGGCATGGGCTATGCCAGTCACTTAATCATTTTATTTAGTGCAACCTCTTATATTGTCATCATTGCATGGGCGTTCTTTTACCTGTTCTCATCATTCAGTGCGGATTTGCCTTGGGCCACATGTGGACACGAGTGGAACACAGGTACCTGTCTTCAAACTGTTGGAGAGGGCTTCGGAAGCCTGTAGATATTGAGTATGAATAATGTATTTTAAGTTAATATATACTTATTTGATTACGGATTTCACTGCAATATTGTTAAAATAAAAGTGTTTGTGTAATGTGCAACACAAAGGATATCAAGCAAAAATATAGAACATTTTATTTCTCTTAATAGAATCTCTCTTTTTTTGCTTTATGGAAGTAATGCAAAGTTTATGAAAATATGTTGTTATCTCGGTTTGATGCACTATTGAAAATGTGGATTTTTACATTGTTTTGTTTCCCCAGAGTCTTGTCTGGATCCCTCCCATCCCAATGTGAGTCTCAGCATGGCATCAAGACTGAATACCACTCTTCCTGTTATGGAGTTCTGGCAGTAAGCATGAAGTCAACTCACACATTGAATTGCATTCCCTCCCCTTATATTACCACCACTGGAGTGACAGGGAGAAACAATGGTACCAGCATGCAGAACGTTATAGCATGCAGGGCAGCCAACATGGCACTGCATCAAGTTTTCTCCTAGAAGAGCAACAGATAATACACTGCATCTTTTTCCATCCACTACAAGCTCACTAGAGAGTTTATTATCACGTTGTTTCAACTGGAAGGACACCCTATCCCATTAAAGTGCTTTAACATTAACCTTTGGTGCCCCCTCTCCACTCCCACCTCTCTAACCCCCAGCATTAATCCCCTTCTCTGTCCAGGCACCGGGTTTTGAAAATCTCCAGTGGTATTGAGGACGTCGGTAGCTTGAGGTGGGAACTGGTCTTTTGTCTCATCCTGACATGGGTCCTCTGCTACTTTTGCGTTTGGAAAGGAATCAAGTCAACAGGAAAGGTTAGCTGGTCAAACACTTAACATTCTTGAAGAAAAATGCAGGTCCAAATAAAGTTTCAATGATTTTGTTAGTTTTCAAAATGTTAAAAAAGTTATTTTAAAGATACAGTATTATTCAAACCGACATCTATTCATCCAGTTTATATACAGCAGGTACTGTATATATTCATTGTAAATACTAGTGTAAATAGGCAACAATTATTTTTTAACCTACATTTGAGTTCACTCTAACTCACTTAGACCATTTTCCACAAAAAAAGTGGAGTACCTAATACAAAAACATGGACAGTATCCCTCACTGGCTTCACAACATGTACTGTTTTGGTTGTTTACAGTGACGGGTGTACTGATATACTAAGTTTATGAATTGGAATTCCACCATCACACTACCACATGACACTTATATTACACTGAACAAAAATATAAATGCAACACTTTTGTTTTTGCTCCCATTTTTCATGAGATGAACTCAAAGATCTAAAACATTTTCTATATACACAAAATAACCATTTCTTCAGTTTTATCACACAGCACAATGCCACAGATGTCGCAAGTTTTGAGGGAGCGTGCAATTGGCATGCTGACAGCAGGAATGTCCACCAGAGCTGTTGCCCGTGAATTGAATGTTCATTTCTCTACCATAAGCCATCTCCAAAGGCGTTTCAGAGAATTTGGCAGTACATCCAACCGGCCTCACAACCGCAGACCACGTGTAACCACACCAGCCCAGGACCTCCACATCCAGCATGTTCACCTCCAAGATCGTCTGAGACCAGCCACTCGGACAGCTGCTGCAACAATCGGTTTGCATAACCAAATAATGTCTGCACAAACTGTCAGAAACCGTCTCAGGGAAGCTCATCTGCATGCTCGTCGTCTTCATCGGGGTCTCGACCTGACTCCGGTTCGTCGTCGTAACAGACTTGAGTGGGCAAGTGCTCACATTCGATGGCGTCTGGCACGTTGGAGAGGTGTTCTCTTCATGAATCCCGGTTTTCACTGTTCAGGGCAGATGGCAGACAGCGTGTGTGGCGTCGTGTGGGTGAGCGGTTTTCTGATGTCAATGTTGTGAATCGAGTGGCCCATGGTGGTGGTGGGGTTATGGTATGGGCAGGCGTATGTTATGGACGACGAACACAGGTGCATTTTATTGATGGCATTGTGAATGCACAGAGATACCGTGACGAGATCCTGAGGTCCATTGTTGTGCCATTCATCCACGACCATCACCTCATGTTGCAGCATGATAATGCACGGCCCCATGTTGCAAGGATCTGTACACAATTCCTGGAGGCTGAAAACATCCCAGTTCTTGCATGGCCAGCATACTCACCGGACATGTCACCCATTGAGCATGTTTGGGATGCTCTGGATCGGCGTATACGACAGCGTGTTCCAGTTCCTGCCAATATCCAGCAACTTCGCACAGCCATTGAAGAGGAGTGGACCAACATTCCACAGGCCACAATCAACAACCTGATCAACTCTATGCGAAGGAGATGTGTTGCACTGCGTGAGGCAAATGGTGGTCACACCAGATACTGACTGGTTTTCGGACCCCCCTAGACGCACGTTTCAGAGTGGCCTTTTATTGTGGCCAGCCTAAGGCACACCTGTGCAATAATCATGCTGTCTAATCAGCATCTTGATATGCCACACCTGTGAGGTGGGATGGATTATCTCGGCAAAGGAGAAGTGCTCACTATCACAGATTTTTTCAGATTTGTGAACAATATTTGAGATAAATGGTTATTTTGTGTATATAGAAAATGTTTTAGATCTTTGAGTTCATCTCATGAAAAATGGGAGCAAAAACAAAAGTGTTGCATTTATATTTTTGTTCAGTGTATATGGAAACATGTATTACCTGATGTGCTCAAGATTTATAGGATATTTAAAAGCAGCGTTTTACATCAGCAGTTTTTTTTACAAGTGATATTACCCACCGTAGTAATGCTAATTAAAGTTAGGGGTGAGGAGTCGATGGCCCATTGACCCTTTGACCGGTGACCCTGTGAGCTTTTGAAATAGGGAGATGTTTTTTTTTTCTGGGGAAACTAACTCCTGGTAGGGTCTACAAAAGGCTTATTTGTTCCATTAGGGAGGCAGACTCAAGAGTGATTTTCAGGCCCTAAGCAGCGCAATACAAATGAGACTTTATGAGGTGGGTTTTGGTCAAAGGCTGCAACTTCGTTTATCAGATATCTGAGAAGATTAGAAATACAGGAAGGGTCTGAGGAGTCCATTATACTCCACACTGTTGACGTCCAACAGAAATGTTTAGCTTAAGGGATTTGCTCTTACTATCTGTCGGCCATTATACCCACATATTTGCTTTGCTCTAAATCCCAGACTGAGATTTAATCCATGCTCTTATTTACTGTTTACATCTCAGCTGGGTGTTAAGCTTAGAAGTGGTTATTGGCAGTAGTCACTTTAGTTTGGCATCTTAATAGAGCATGCAAATCGTCTTTTCGAGATATTTAGCTGAATGATATTAGCTGACAAGTTTATTTTAGGGATACAAGTTGTTCAAGGGTAACATTTGAGTTGTGGTTAAAGTAACGTTTAAGGTTTAGTAGTTATAATGGTTAGGTCTAGGGGAGAAACATAGACAATACAGATTCCCACAAGGATGAATAACAAGACAGGTTAGGCGTACGTAGGGTTTCCTCTAGCCGACAGAAGGGATAAGAAAGTGGTCTAAAACAATGTAAGTTTAAATGGTTATCAGGGCAAACGGTGGGTGAGTAAATATCACAGATAAGGCTTAGGGAACCCTCTATGTGCCTTGGTGGTGCAATACCTGGTAGTTAGGACTTGGTGTGTCTAATACACAGGTTCACTTTAATCTGACCCGTGTCCAGTTTAAGGTATCACACATGGATAAAACATATTACAGTGGCTGCAGCTAAGAGCAGTAATCCAACTGTACATTTATTTCTATTAGATGATGAAGGTGTTAAATCTGATGCTACATAATAAAGATATAGGTTATAGCCGCCTGTTACCCAATTAGCATGTTTAAGCTACTGTTAATTAATATGTGGAAGTTATTGTTTTCCCATAAGTCATAACTACACTGCAGCTATATACATATGACAATAAAAGCCTTGAATCTTGAATCTTGAATAACTGCTAAAACAATCAGTCGTTTCATTGATTGGTCGATTCATGGACTGATCTATTACATATTGGTGCAAGCTGCCAATAAATGTCTTTGTTTCTCTTCAGGCGGCTTTCTTTACAGCTACCTTCCCCTTCATTATGCTGTTTGTTCTGCTCATCCGTGGTGTCACCCTCCCGGGGGCGATGGACGGGATCATTTACTACCTCTACCCTGACATCTCCCGCCTCTCAGATCCCCAGGTAAACCCATGTGCTCTTTAGAGCAGAACCACTTTCCTTTACACAGAGTCATAACCATACACATATATATATTTTTCACACATATATTTGCATTCAGGTGTGGATGGATGCTGGAACTCAGATATTCTTCTCCTATGCCATCGGCCTTGGATTCCTAACTTCTCTTGGGAGTTACAACACCTTCAATAACGACTGTTACAAGTATGGCCTGACCTATCAAAATGATTATTATTATTTTTCTTTTAAATGTAGTGTTTCTTGTTCTTTATATAATTTTTCCGCAAAAGTATTTGATTTGTGTCAGTTTAAGGTTCCCGAAGTTGGCCAATCACAACTTTCTCTTGTCATAAATATAATTAATCTGACTGATTTTAGGCTTTATGTATTCTGCCACACTGTGGAACTTGAACATATAAAAAGAGGGAGTACCACTTAAACTGAATATTAATAGGGTAATTCAAACGTTATGTATGGTGTTCCTGGTCAGAAATGACCAGCCATAGAAAAATAAATATATTATACTTTACTATGTTCAAGCAGCATACAAATACACATTACAACACCCCCACACCAAAAACAGCAGAAATAGACTGTACAACTTCCAAGTGTTTACATGTAAAATCCCTTTAGGACATAATTTCCAAAAGTAAGTCTAGAACTTCTAATAATGACTAGGAATTAGGTTGTGCAGGAACACCGTCAATCTAACTTGAAAAGAGAGTTGAGCACAATGTAATGCTGCAATGCCAATATGTTCTAAATATCCTTGTGTATCAAATATCTTTACTCATTACACATTTTTAAAACTGTGCTCATTTTCTTTTCAGGGACTGTTTTTACTTGTGTCTACTGAACAGTGCCACCAGCATTGTGTCAGGCTTCGCCATTTTCTCTGTTTTGGGTTTCATGACCAACGAGCAAGGAGTGGATATTTCTGAAGTAGCTCAATCAGGCAAGTACTGACTTCTCTCATTTCACTTGATATTGAGCAGTAGAGTGAAAAACTGGTATATCACATTAACTGCTCACCTTGTTGGCAGAGTTCATAGTTTAAATTGCCAGAAACTTTCCCTGCTTAAACTCTCCCTGTGTGGGAAAATGTGCCAATTTATGTAGCGTTTCCTTATCCTTGTATCTTTCTAACCTAAGAGGCTTACGTTTGTCATCTTTTGTTCTTACATTTTTTGACAACTTCTCTGAACTATAACTGCATACACAGGTCTTATTTGCTCACATTTCTAACGGAAGAGGTTACATTTGCAGCTCAACGGCATTACAAATCAGACGTCAATTCCAAAATACTTAACACACAGTTTTTCTCGATGAAACTTGGCTACTTTGACTGGCTTTGTGGCTCTGGAACACTGGGAAGTTTGGGCCCACACAATACCTCCCACTTGGTGAAAACAACTCCAGAAATGTCAACAAAGAGCCTGCAAATGCATCAATGCTGGCAGTTGCATTAATATAAAATCCAAAATGACCATTAATCCAATAGATTCAGCTAATTTATAAAAGCTATACGCTGTTTGTTTGTGCTGCAAATACATAACACACCAAAATGATCTGTCGTAGAACCCTTTTCTATATATTTAACCAGCCTGTGCTGAATTTGATTATAACTAAGGGAGGTTTTTAAAAGCAAGTGAGTCTTTTCACTCAGTGACTATGAAAAAGAAGACATACTGTACATTTAATTCTGTAAACTTTTTTTTACTACAATACGACAATGTTGGAACATTGCAAGTAATAAAGGGTTGTTTCCTGTTTGTCCTATTTTGACAACATTGGATGATGAGGCATTCTTAAATAGATCTCAACTACTGGATGAAATGCCATGTGCAATCATCATCGTAATGTATGTCTAATACTTTGGTATTGCTCTAAATGTATTATATGAAAATACAACTAAGCAAAATGTTTGCCCATTGCCTTTGATTTATGTTTCTGTTATATGTTGTTACATGATGTGTGTGTAGGTCCAGGGTTGGCATTCATTGTCTATCCACGTGCTGTAGCCATGATGCCCATGCCTCAGGTGTGGTCGGTGTGTTTCTTCCTCATGATCATTCTGCTCGGATTGGACAGTCAGGTACCCGCCAAACCTCTCTGAATAAATAAATGTAGGATTTAATTAATAAACAAAGGTCTGACTCTCACTACTTTCTTCCAGTTTGTTGGTCTGGAGTGTCTGATGACGTCACTGACGGATTTGTTCCCTGCCCTGCGCCGAGGCTACAGACGTGAGCTGGTTCTGTTGGCTATCTGCAGTACCTGCTGCATAATGGGACTCTCCCTAGTCACTGAGGTTTGTATAGTAAAGTCCATGCAAACAGTTAGCTTTAGTATTATGTATGCTACACTTAAAATGCTTGGAAGACTGGTAAAATGGTACATCAAAGCACAGAGAGCTGTGTATGAAAGGGACTTTAAACTAACTACAAGGCCACCTCCACCAAAGCCAAATGCCCTATGGAAAATGTGATTCAGATGTACTACAACATTTAATGTGTTTTACCCTCTATGGTTATACCTTGGCAAATGCACACACTTTCATCAATATGTATGTAAACATGCCAGTAGTATTGCATAATACAGATAACAACTGACAATGAAACACAACCTTCTTGATTAATTAAGTCAATCCAACATCGAACATAAAGTGATGTTGATTACTTCCAGGACTGGAAAGCCTTCATGTTTATGTCATAAGCAAGAACCCTAAAAGGTACTGCACAACTGCAAACAGAAAAAGACAAATTGGCATTCAGATGCAGTCAAACCTCCCTCTGTTGCTCTAGGCTTGCAGGAGAGCCTTTTTTTCATCGATATGTTCTTTTTGAGAGTTGCATGGATAAAAACAAGAAAATAAACACCAATTAAATAAAAGCAGTATGAAAATATTAAAGCGTACAACCATAGTGAAAATAAAGAAATATATACACTTTCAGCTGCTATACCTTGGATGTCCTTCCCACCCTGAAAACATTACAAGACAGCGTCCCAGATCTTATTCAACGAACCTCCTCTATCTTCAATATAACATCTCAATCTCTCCAGATGTAATGTGTTTGCCATGTATTCCAACCACAAGTCATACCTGGCTCTAGAGTCCCTTGTTCACACTTGTAAGATTTACTTTTTGCAATCACTATTTAAAACACAAAAGCAATTATTTTCATACTATTAACTGGCGATGAGTAGCTTGTTTCTCTAAAAATGGCTATGAGCCCACCAGGTTCCCAATGCTTTCCAAGAGACTCCATGAAATAGTAGAATATGCTGTTCAAACATACGAAAAGTTGAATTACAGTCCCTTCACTTTATCATAACTAAAAAGAATGTATTAAAAAACTGATAACATATATTAATTGCAACCAGGTGAAACATCAGAACATCCAACTGTATAAAAGTGGGTCAAAGACATAAATTAGCAACATGAAACATTAAGAAAACTGAAATATTTTTTAATCTTGAAGCTCATTCCCATAGTGATTTTCACTTTTTTACTTTAAAGAACCTTGGGTAATATACACTGATTATGTCGTAAGAAACTTTTGGGAATATAGTTTATTTGAAGTTGTTTTGTCCTTGTATTTAGGGAGGCATGTACCTGCTCCAGCTGTTGGACCATCATGTCTGCAGCGGCACTACCCTGCTGCTCCTCTCCTTCTGCCAGTCTGTCAGTATTGCCTGGGTCTATGGTGAGTCAAAGACAACACAAATAAATCAAACAATTCACGCAAAAATGTATATCCTTTTCATATTATGAAAACTTGTATTACAACTTATTTCAACAGGGTAAACAACATTATGTACATTTGATGATAACTTAAAGCATAATCAAAGACAATATTGAACTTTCAAATATATTTTGTTTTCTCTAAAAAGGTGCAGACCGTTTTTATGGCAACATCACAGACATGATAGGGTATCGTCCATTCCCATTGATGAAGTACTGCTGGCGCTACATCACTCCCTTATTTTGTTTTGTAAGAGTTTTGTCCATTCATACATTGATGTTTCTTCCATGTTGTTATACTTCTCATGATCATTTCCATTTGATGTATGGTATGACACAATTGTGTACATTCATAAGAGATGAAAATGTAAACACAAAAAAGCTATTTAGTGAATGTAAACCACTTATAACAGGCTCTGATAGTAATCCCCTTTGTCTCCTCTAACCACAGGGCACCTTCATCTTCTCTATCGTGAAATACACACCGCTGAGGTTCAATAACACTTATGTTTATCCATTCTGGGCTAACATCTTGGGATGGGTCATTGCCAGCGTGTCCCTCTCCCTCATCCCACTCTTTATGTTATACAAAATGATGCATGAAAAAGGCCCTCTTCGACAGGTAAGCATAACTATCTTGTTTTCCTCTAAATTGTACTGGTAAATCTTGCTCTCAAAATAATAAAAAGTGACTCACTGATATTGATAGGTCAAACTTTAAACCTCTGATATAGATTTGAATCATTTTGTGCATGTGTGCAGTTAGTGTTAAAGTTATGATTTGTTAAAAGGTTGTCTGGACACCTTTGTGTAAAATATGATCCCTAGAGAATCTGCAGGATTTCTCTTGATAAACAGTACGCAAAACAAAAACAAACATGGGATTATATCACTGTACTAGAGATACATTTGATCTTTCACAGACTTGCATTACCTTTGCACATTCAGATTAATAATACAGATCATTATCAACCAGTAATTATAAGTAATATTAAACAGATTAAGGTGGTAGATTAGCTCCACTTTACCAGCTGCAACACTAAAGGGCTATATTATTGAATCAGTAATTACAATTTGATTATGTAATAGTTATTATTCAGATTTGGAACATTTTGCATGTTATTTTTATTTTATTTTAAGTAGATCGGAGTATCAGATACATTTTATAAGGTGGAATTGCTACTTTTACAAGACCTGAATACTTATTCCCCCAGATTTAAATCTGGTTATATTCTAGGTTTTCACTTTAAATGTATCCCATTAAAAACATTTAAGAGCAACAATGAATCCTACTGACAAGTATACGGTGTGCATCCACCGGCCAATGGGGGATAGCTAACAGCTACAGTAGCCATGATACAGAGCACTGATTCTACGGTTCTAAAACTCACCCTGCAAATAAACTTCATTTAATACATATATATCATTGCCAACAAGCGAGGCAGAGATATAGCCAAACATGACACGCATTCAGCAGAGAGCCATAAAGACAACAGAAAAAGGAGAGGGGGACATCCATAGCTGGCTGCTAAACTACAGTGGCTAACTTTAGCATAGATTAAATGAAAATGTAAACATTAGTGTTTTCGCTAGTAGAAGGACAGGGGGGTATACTACGAAGCAGGATTTTCGCTTAGCCGGCTAAATTCAGGGAAAACTCTGGCTTTCCGGTCCTACGAAGCTGGTTTTCTTTTTAGCAGGCTAGATCTCCATGGTAACTTATGCTTAGCGGCTAACATGGTCGGGACCAGGTTACCCCCTAATCCCACCAGGAGTGTCTGCGCTGCGTTGCGCTGCGGCTGCGGCGTTTTTAGCGATCGCGGCCACTCTAGTCAATGGGTGCTATTCCACCAGACACGCTGCGCCGCGCTGCGCCGCAGCTCGAAGCGTCCCAGAAGCTCCTCGCCGCAAGGAATTTCTAAAATATAGGATGAATCCTATTTTTGACGCAGCGCAGGCAGGAAGTGGAATGTTCATCCAACAACTGCGAGGCTGCACACAAGACGCTCCGCTTCCGCAACGTTTTGAAACGCGCCTGGCGGGTTAGGACGCAGGAGGAGGTCGCAGCGCGGCGCAGCCGCAGCGCAGACGCTCCTGGTGCGATTAGGGGGTTAGGTTGCAGGCTTCTGGGACGCTTCGAGCCGCGGCGCAGCGCGGCGCAGCGTGTCTGGTGGAATAGCACCCATTGACTAGAGTGGCCGCGTATGCAGAAGTATTATTTTAAGCAACACATTCAGTTGACGAAACACTCGAGACAAATGTAATTAAAGTCAGATCGTGTTTTAGACGGGGCAGTGATATCATAAACCTGTTAATGTACGCATTCAAACGCTTTTTTTTTTGCCAGCTGTATTCACCTTGCAGGTGCAGCTATGTGGCTTTTATCCTGGATAAAGTGTTTAAGTCATGGATGTTTAAAGTTTAACTTCTTCATTTTTGACTAGTATTAAAGTTCACTTTTCATTCAGGAAGTATGACGCTGCGCTGTCAGTACGCTTCTCCATGTTTGTGATTGGTCGAATGCTCCAAATACCACCCCTTTCATGTGAACGCGCACCTAACTAGATAGGAAACGGCTGGCTTGAGCGATCCACTTGATAACCAGCGTCGTAGTACAGTTTAGCGAGAGCGCGTATGTTTTTAATTAGGCCAACCGGCTAACTCAAACATATCCAGGTTAGGTTGAGCCAGCTTCGTAGTATAGGCCCCAGGTCTTGTGTTTGAGCAGCAGTACTGGATGATATGTAGATATAATTCTCGTAGTTATATCGGTTGTCTTCAAGGATATAACAAGATTAATTTAGTAAAGACTATGCAGCTACACAGTATACTACAGTAGCAGCAACACAAAAACAGTGAAACCGGAAATGACGAAAGACGCTTACCGTACGACGTCAGCAACGCCACGCTCTGAAAGACGTCCCGTTAAATCTGGTCTTGGCATTATTTAGCCACGTAGTACTAGGTGACAATGACATTTTTGTGTTTATCCCAAATACATTACGAAAATATTCCCACTTCATTACACAAATACAGTAGGAAAATATTCCCACCGTATTATTTATTATTTCTCGAGTTTAACAACTTGCTAAAAACTGTCTAGTTGTTTTGGGTAAATAAATATTGCAACTAAGAGGTAGGGAATGAGTGACATTGAAGTCAACATCATTGTTTGTTTTGGACTTTTTTCATTTGTATTTGAACAATAATTGGACTTTACAAATCATACAGAAACACAATTCCATTATTCATCCCACAGAGGGGAAATGTACAGCAGTTTAGCTAGAGACGAAAGATACAAATCTCCCACTATTAGATTAAAAGGTGTGCACATCGTTTTTATTTTTTTTAATGTACATAAGTACACATTCAGGGAAAACAAGCAAGTTATTAATCAAATAAAAAAGAACATTGTAGAATATACTGTGTGGTAGCGAGTTGATTGCATTGGTAGATACAAAATAAATAGAGGTGACTTGTCAGGGTTGAGTGAAGCAGGTAGGACCCAAATGCAGATTTAAACAGAAAATACCTTTATTTCAAGGCTAATGTAACAACAGAACTCTTCCCAGTGAACACAGTCAAGACAAATAAGGATCTCACAAAGACTAACAGGAAAAAACGAACCTAAATGCACACAGGACTAATCAAAGAAACAAGAGACAGGTGAGGAGGGAGGAGAAAACACAGGGGCACCAAGTGAACACAATCAGGAAATCAGACACAGGAGGGCAAACACAGAGACAGGAATCAACAGACAAGACAGGGGGTGAACACACACACAAAATAAAACAGGAAACCAGAGACAAACTAAACACAACACAGACAGACCGTGACATGAATAGTGCAAATAATCTCTCATGGTTTGCACAAATGAATAAAGAATGCAAAAAAATGTATCCTCGGCATCTGAACTGAATTTCACTTTTATCTTGAATGTCTTTTTCCCCCTCAGCGATTCTTAAATCTCTGCAAGCCTATGGATCTCACCTTGGACCAAATAAGTCTTCCGATGCTTGGAACCACTACCAGCGTGGAGCTGAAGCCCTTATTCCCAAATGGGGAACTTACTAAGTGAGCCTTGACAGAGGTTTTTCATGAGTAATGTTATTTTTTAAGTCATTCCTAAACATTTCTCAGAGGGTGGGTTTTTGCTCTTGTTTTTGTATACTTAAACCATCCAAAACAATGACATATGCTACTCCTAAGTAAGGTGAATAACTTTGATGACAAGTTTTCATGTTAAGTAATGCAGAGTTGTAACATTTTGAGTAACTGATCATTTTGCATGGATAATGAATTATTTCATTTGGTAAATATTGATTCTGTTTGGCTTCACTATTGACATTGTTAACTGTGTTCTTATTCTCGCGTCCAGGAAAGAGAAGCTTAAAAAGGAGACTAAATGGAGTCTCTGGAGGTTCAAATTTGGTACTTTAATTAATAAAAAAGGTGCGGTAAAGTCACAAACAGGATATTGTCCAACAGAAATACAGCTGTGCATCTGGCTCTCGTTAGCAGAGAAAGAGGCCGTACCCCTCAGGTCCGGTTGTTTATATATCCTCTCCTGGCTCCTCCCTGCGGGCCGGCTCTCCAACGTTTTAATGTCCGTTGTTACGCATATCAGAGGATACAGACATTGTACATTCAATATATATTTAAACACGCCTTTTCTCCTCCTTAACTCTTTCATGACTTTTCATTTAACACATTCCAAACGCTGTAATCAATACTCCAAAAATACAGGAAATACTTCACAGCAATTTGGTTTTCCGGTCGTTCCGAATGTTGTGACATGCTACCCACATCTGTAAACAATAACGTACTCAAATAAACTGTACCTTCATTTAATATCCAACAATAATAATATCTCGACGTCTATAGTTGTAGTGTTGAAATCAGTAGGTTTCGGTGAGCAACATAATATCGCTGCTAAATTCACCTCTAGGAAATGGTATATTAGCCTCATGCTAAATGCTAACCAGAGATGAAGGATTTTCAGAATAAAAGCTTAACAACTGGTTGTGCACAAGAACTTCTGGTTTTTCAGTATAAAACGGCATTTAAACTGAAGGTACATTTAAGGTACATTATGCCATCAAGACATTGTTTTTAATTTCTAACAACATGCATAACTTACATAACTGTTAAGATCACAAAGGTCGGTTTGTTGGAAACAATCTGATTTGTTGCTTGAGATTTGAATGTGCGTGTGTGTCTGCTTGTAGGGTGTGTGTGTGTGTGTGTGTGTGTGTGTGTGTGTGTGTGTGTGTGTGTGTGTGTGTGTGTGTGTGTGTGTGTGTTATGATTTTCACCTGTATTTTGTAACTTGAACTAAAAAAAATTGATAAAAATAGCATTGTGCCTTTTTGTTGTATAAACATTAGCCTGAGTTGAATTTTAAAACATTTACTGGCTAAGTTATTTTAAACTTTCACTCAGTTGGCAACCTTTCACTGTGTGGTGTTGCCGTATATGTTTACCTAAATATCACATGGGGAATGTAAGTGTAATGTATATGTACTAGTGCTACCAATGCCTTTATACAGTATAACCTTATAATCCTCCTTAAAACTATAAGAAGTGCCTTACAACAGAATATGTAGGTTATTACACCTTGATATACAGTACATCTGCTGTACGATTGTACATCTGCAGAATAGGTAACTCACGTTTAGCCATTTGTCATGCACTATTGTTCATAAATAAATATTTTTCAATGAAACCTGGTACTTTGGCATGTGTTATTATTACATTATGTATTTGGTCTGTCTGTAACAAAGGTAACTTCGTTACTATGGACTGACGGCTTTGGGCCCTTGTAATATTGCACATGTGGGTTTGCACTTTATATAACAACTTCCTTTTGCACAGAAATAATGTCACTCCACTTTAGTAGTGAGCAGTTTCAATCTATAGCGTGATTGCACAGTACAGTTTGACATTGCATATTTGCACATTTGTACATATTGTATACTAATTATTGAGGTAATATTTATGAAATGATTAAACGGTATTAATTGGAATGTTGTCTGGCAGATACTGGTCGGGTCCTCGGCTCCACCTGAAAAGAGAGGGGAGTATAGCGAGAGCGCCGAAAGTGTTTATGATTGTGTAAGATTGACAGCAGTTGAGATTAATCATTATGTGCAAATAATATGTATTGGCGTGTATTTGTTTTGATTTGATATACTTTATTAATCCCCGTGGGGAAATTGTTTCTCTGCATTTGACCCATGTGTTAGGAGAAGTGTGCTGCCATTTTGAACGGCGCCCGGGGAGCAGTAACATGACGTTAAAGTTGCTTTTGATTGTATAAGTGGACACTGTAAAGTTTACATCTATCACTCACCCATGTTGTTTCGTCCTGTGTCCTAGTGATGTGTCGGTCACGAACGAGTCGGTTTTTTTTTTGTTTTGCGGAGGGATCTAGATCGGCATGAAGGCACATTATGCAATGTGCAATGTGCACATTATCCCGCTTATTACAAGGCCACATTCTCAACAAAGTAACGACATGACTCCCAATATTAATTGAAATGCTTTTATGGATTTAGAAAATGATTTTATTGATTTAAAAAATAGTTGTATTTATTTATTTAAATTGACATGCATAAGTGGCGCAAGTTGCGCAACTGATGCGGTATTGCGCTAAACGGAAATTATTTTTGAACGGACACTTTGACTGGAGAGATTTAGATTTGCCGGTCTTCAGCATATTTTACCGGTCGTAGTCCGGTAATTACCGGCTAATGGGAACTCTGACTTGTGTACAGTCAATTGTTTGAGGCCCATGTGAACCATGTCAGAAAAGTGCTACAGCTGTTGAGAAGATATGGAATCAAATTGAAGCCCAGCAAGTGTGAACTTTTCAAGCGTGAGGTTCGATATCTGGGAAGAGTTGTTTCTGCCGAAGGTAGCAAAATCGATCCAGCTGACACCATCGCTGTGAGAGCATTGAAAGATAAGAGACCGAAAAATGTGGGAGAGCTTCGAGCTATCATGGGCTTGCTAAGCTACTACAGACAATACATACAGAACTTTTCCCGAATTGCTGGACCACTTTATGACTTGTTGAAAAGTACAGCAGAAGACAACAATGTAACAGAAAGCAGGAGAAAAAAAAGACGAGTCACAGAAAAAAAGAAAGGAGTGCCGTCACACAAACCAATTGTGTGGACTGAAGAACATCAATGCATCCTGGAACGGCTAATAGACTGTCTGGTTGAGCCCCCAGTCCTCTGGTTCCCTGACTTCTCACTGCCATTTGTCCTCCATACAGATGCGTCAAACCAAGGCCTTGGCGCAGTCCTATACCAACAACAGGATGGTAAACTCCGTGTGATCGCCTATGGTTCCCGGAAACTGACAGCCTCTGAACGAAATTACCATCTCCACTCAGGAAAATTGGAATTTCTCGCATTAAAGTGGGCAGTAACAGAAAAATTCAGAGACTAGTTGTACTATGCGCCTACATTTACTGTATACAGTGATAATAATCCACTACCTATGTCCTGTCGAGGGCCAAGCTTAATGCAACTGGATATAGATGGGTAGCAGAGCTTGCCGACTTTCACTTTACCATTCGATACCGTCCAGGGAACGAGAATGTGGATGCTGACAGTCTATCAAGGATGACTGTAAATGTTGAAGAGATGTTGAACAAATGTACTGAAGAGCTCCCATCAGACTGTGTGGCAGCTACAGCCCAAGCAGTCGAGACTCAAGACTCAAGCTCATCGTTGGTCTGCCCAGTACTTACCACTCTCCAATGTTCATCAGTGAGTGAAGCAATGTATAAATCATTTTCAGTTCCTGAAATAAGAAAAGCACAGGAAGACGACAAAAACATTGGTCCAATGATGCAGTGTAAACTGAGGGACAACAAGCCAGATAGACATGCATTTCATGCATTGAGTAAACAAAGCAAGTGCCTTCTCCGCGAATGGGAAAGACTCCATATCGATGACGATGGCATTCTTCGCAGGAAGACAGTTAACAGAACACAGCTTGTATTACCTGAGAGGCATACAATCACTGTACTGAAAGAGTTGCATGATGAGATGGGCCATCAAGGCATTGATCGTACAACATCACTGATTAGAGACAGATTATTTTCGCCATACATGCAAAAAGAAATTGAACACTATGTAGCGAGGACTTGTACTTGCCTTAAGCAAAAAATACCATGCAAAGAATCACGTGCACCTCTCACAAGCATTGTCACTACTCTCAACCCTTTGAACTGGTGTCAATAGACTTTCTTCATTTGGACAAATGCAGCGGTGGCTATGAGGCCATTTCACTCGTTTCGCCCAGGCTTACGCCACCACTTCCAAGTCTGGCAAAACTGTTGCTGATCGCATATTTAATGATTATGCTCTCAAGTTTGGTCTACCAACACCTATACATCACGCCCAAGGCGGCGAATTTGAGAACCAGCTTTTTGCCCAGCTGAAAAAGAACTGTGGTGTACTTGGGTCGCGAACAACACCATATCATCCTCAAGGAAATGGGCAAGTTGAGTGTTTAAATCGAACACTGCTACAGATGTTAAAGACACTTACTGATAAACAGAAGACAAACTGGAAGGAATCGTTAAACAAGCTGATCTATGCATACAACTGCACACGTTGTGAGGTAACAGGCTTCTCCCCTTTTTACCTTCTGTTTGGAAGATCCCCAAGGTTACCCATTGACCTACTGTTTGGTCTAACATCTGAAACAGGAAAAACAGACCATCGAACATACATGGAGAAATGTAAAAGGGAGATGCAAGACACGTACGAAATAGTGCAGGAGAATGCAAAGAAGTCAAGGGAAAGAAGTAAAATACATTATGATGGAAAAGTGAGAAGCTCCATGCTGTACGCTGTGCGGTGATCGTGTCCTTGTTCGAAACCTGACACCGAGAGGAGGCACTGGAAAGCTTCGTAACTATTGGGAAGAGAACATCCACTATGTAATCCGCCAGGTCGGAGAAGACATTCCAGTTTATGAAATCAGACCTGAGCAGGGAAGAGGAAGATCGAGAATAATGCATCGCAATCTGTTGCTACCTTGTGATCACTTACCTCT